ACTAGTTAAAAATAAAATTATTTCGCTAATTCTATCTGATATCTTCTGAAAGAAGATCTTTTCTGATTTTACGATATTTGCCGTACCTTTACAAGCATCTGTTTTGTAAATTTACAATATGAGTCGTACAGTTACGATTTGAGTTGTAGTCTAATTGTCCTTCATTTGTGATGACGTATCTTTACGGCTCAAATTATTGTTAGGAATTACGACAAAGGTCATACTCTTAAATTACAAATTAAGTGGTAAGTGTACGACATTTGTCATGGAAAATTTTCCCGTACCCTGTACGACTATTTTTCACAGTGAATAGATACAAAAAGATACAAAGGATCTAGGCGGCACTGGTTCATATTCAACTTTTAGGGATTCCCAACAACAACGATATGGCAACATTGCAAAATAGACAATACACTTGACGATGCTGCAACACACCCGACACCATTTAAACTTATTCTACTGCTTCCAAATAGATAGTACAAGAGAACAAAGTCAGATAACTGATGAGGTGCACAAAAAGCTACATTACTCTCAAATAGACACAACACAACACCACACTACAACCAATATAGCCTTGAATGAGATTTGAAATCCGCGCTTTGCTTTGCGCCGATCGATGTATCGACTTTTCACTCAAATAAAGATTATGTGCTAGAGCGCAGCAGCCGCGCAGTGGCAGTGGAGACTCGACCAAAGACAGTCCTAGACTGGAGCTAGTATATCTGGGTGTTTGAGTTGTTCACTCAAAATGGACTTAGAGCTTTCGGGGTGGCGGGGTACCCACAGGATGGTCTTCGCTGACACCAAAAGTCAATGATTTGGGGCATGGAGAGGTGTGCGGGGCCACGCACACGCGACCAAGGCCTCGAAATTGACGATTTTTTTTCGTGAAAACAAGGCATGTTTTTAGCCCGCCCTTTTGCTTTTAAAAAAGCATTAAAGCGGGCTTATGCAACCGCTCGCGTGTCTGTCTGCCTGTCCGTCTTCCGTGTAAGAGGAAGGAGATGAGCTAGAGGTCGACAAATTTCAGGGTATCTTAGGGGTCACTCCTGGACAACGAAACGCCTGGTGCAAATCCTGGCAACCACCCCTAAGGGGGTGAAAGGGGATAACAAAGAAATACGGGTTGGTCCAAAGAGTAGAAAAAAAATATTTTTTTATGGTCTTCTAAGGGGTAACTCGTGAATGTAGAGCCCCGTGGGCGAAAATTTTGTCCGTTTGACTCTATCTTGCACCGTTTGGGC